TGTATATATATATGTGCACGTATAATATATTTCACACAAGCAATACAGGTAAAAGCATTACAGGTAAAAAAAGAAGCGGTAATTCAGAAAATGCGCATGAAATGTATTCAAAATTTCAGTAAACTAATTATAATTATTTAATTATAATTATTTTGCTTTAGTTTTTTATATTTAATTATAAATCATATTTAATTTAATTAAGCAATTCCACTGAACCAAAAAAAGAGCAAAACATTTCATTCAATTTAATTTTAATATAAATTTAAAATTTAATGAACAATTTATTTAAGCTATTTAAATTATATAAATTCAATTAATTATCGTTTCGGAAAACAAAATGAAGCATTCAAATTAGTAGTAATTAATTGTACGATAAATATTAAAGTGGAGGAATTTTTTTTTTCTTCAATTGAGATTATTTGTCTCATTGGATTGTTTCAACGACATTACAGCAAAAAATTTGCATATCCGTTTTTACTTCATCAATACTTGCTTTATCGATTAATGAGCGACAAGTATAAATAGCGATAAATTATGAATACATTATCATTGTTCATTTTTCGTCGATAGAATTTGGTCGCTTCTGTCAAATATGGTCTGTTGAATTTGCTTCTTGCCAACAATTACTTGACCCCTGAAATTTTTGTTAAATTAAAAATTATTACAGATAATGTGATAATTAATAATTTTCTAAATTGATAAATTGATAATTTCTTTTTAAAAAATTCACAAAATTTTGCTTACTTTTTGATTGATGAAGAAAATGAAGCATTCAGATGTAATAGATGTGAATCGATAGACTAATTAGGCTGATAATAAAAATTTCATCATTAATTTTAGTATGACGAAATTGATGAATGCCTCGATCAATACGATGGAAAACGGGCCTACGAGCTCATCAAAAAGGTTTGATAATTCTTAGACAAAATTAGTATATAATTAAATAAGAATTATATAATTAAATAAGATCAAATTGATTTTAATACAATTAATGGATGTCGCAAAATTAATATATCATAAAATTAATATATCAATAATATATAATATATCATTAAATAATTAAATAAGGTTCATTAAATAAGGCTCAAAATAAATATATGATTTTAAATAAGATTCAAAATTTAGTTTAAAAATTAAAAATCTATTCATGAAACAATTAATCTATTGTGATAATATCGATTATTAGCATTTATAATTAATCAAATTAAAAATTTCCATCACGAATTTTTATATTTTAACAAATTGAATGATTAATTGGATAAGATTAGAAATGGTAGCGATGAATGAATGAATGAAACGATCACTGATTTCAGATGACACCTGATGATGACGAACCGAACCCTGAATTAGAATATCGCCTTGCTCATGCCTGTTATATTCTTTCAAACTTTTGCCTCTCTAAAGAGGATGAACGTTGCCATCTACTTGAAGAAGGTCAAATAATAATTCATATTTTTTGCAATTTCTCCTTAGCGAAACATAATATCACCCTTCACTCATTCCCTCATTGGCTGTCACATGAAATTACGTGAAATACGTGATCATCTAAATGCAATATACCTTTTGATATTTACATTAAATAGTCTAAATAATGCATTATGATTAAGCATATATGACGTGTAAATCGGCATACAGAACGGGATCGAAAAATGCTGAGGTACTGAAATGGTCTGCAATCATAACCGGAACACTTGCTGAAATTAAGGATATAAGCGATTTTGAGCGAGTGGCTTATGTACGGGACTTTAAGGTAAAGATAAAGAAAAATGATTGAAATTAGTGATAGGTAAGCTTAAAAAAAGCGGTAGAAGAAAAGGAAGGCAGACAAGTGTTCGTCGATTACTTATAAAAATTGAAAGATTTGATGAAATCTTGAAATAAGCCGTAAACGGCTAATATTGAAATTTCGTCATTTCAATTTTACATTTTTCTTTCTCTGCTAATTTAAATAGAAGAAAAGGAAAATAAGAGCTCATAGATTTGTTTAATTATATATATATATATATATATGTTGGCAACTTTTAAAATCATAATTCAGATAATAAAAGCTAAGAGATCTTCAGAAATTCCTTGAAGAGGCATTGACTATTAAACCGGACTCATCAGTCTATCATATGAACGGACGATTTTGTTATCGCGTAAGGCATTCATTCCTTTCGTTACCTGAACAATTTATTTATGTATAAATTGATTTCGAGGAAAATTTAGAAATCATTTATTTCTGTTCAATTGAAATTTTCCGGATCAATAAGCAAATATTACTCAAATTCAATGATACTATTTATTACATTCATATACATCGGAATTACATTATAATACATCCGTTTTATGCTATGATAATTCAGCTATAATTTTCAAAAAAATTTCCATTTCCGGAAATTCTGTTTATTAATTTCCGTTTTAGATGGCAACATTATCGGAGGAAGAAAAGAAAAATGTAATGATTGCATTTGAAGAACTACCAACGTGTACCATTGATGATGCACTTCACAATTTTCATAAAGTTTGAATTTTGCTACAAAATTATTTACTGTATATCTTACAATAATAATATACTGTAGAAATCTTTTTTGTCATAAAACTGATTATTAATTAACAAGATAAGACTAATTAATAACTTAAGATGAACTAAAAATTTGATGAAATAATTAAATGATTTAATTAATATTAGAAAACATTTAAATGATAAATATAATATGATATTTTCATGGATAAAAGCATTTTTAAAACAAATATATAATTTAGGCTGAGGAAATGAATTCGGGACATATTGACAACCTTATGTACCTTGGCAAATGTTACATTGCCAAAGGTTATTTATTTATTTATCAATTCTTTTCTTCTTTCAATTTAATACTAAATTATTACATTAATTTATATGATAAAATAAAAATTTCATCTAATAATTTACTTTCGAATAAGTTTGAATTAAGTGTATTGTGACAGCTGTCAGATATGAGTCAAATATAAAACCGAAAAATATCGGAAACCGGATAGTCTTGACATTCTCGAAAAAATACGATGACACGTCTAAAACTTCATCTTAATAACATTAAACAAATGAAAAAAAATACAGGTGATGAATCGAAAGCGCAAAAGTATTTGTTGCCTGTACTTGAAATAACGCCCACTGATGAGATGGATGAAGCATTGATTGCTGAAGCACGGGAACTTTTGGCTGGTATCAAGGAATATGTTCAGGTCATTTTTTATAATTTTTTAAACAAAAGAAATGAAATCTAATAAGTTTGCAATATTTCCTCAAATACTCTGAATGAAAACTATATGATTGATATATTTCAATTGTTATCATAAATTTCGATATTGCAAACAGTACGAAGGAATCTTGATGCTTCTCCAATAACTCAAATAGAAGTGAAAAGATTAAATTTATAATTTGACATATCTCAAGCCTTAAAAGATTCAGAGTCAAAATGAAGAAAATGGGAAGGAAAGCTCAGACCAGACGGATATGGAAGAAACAGAAGATGGCATTGATTCGACCAGCGGCTATTCCAAGAATGCTACAGATTGAAAATTCATGTGCGAACCAACAAATTCAAGAGACAGAAAACATTTTTTTTATTCAAAAAACAAACGAAAATTTTTTATAAATATTTCATTATGAAATCCCGATAGGTATATAAAATCTTTCTTTCTCGTTTAGCAATAATTGCAACGAATTTTCTGAACAAATTCATCGTTTAAACATTGTTAGATCAAGGATAGGTTAAATGGAATAGTTTGACAACTACACTGATGTATTCGATGTGTATTCACGTTGACGGGACGTAAAACCTGAACTCAGCAGTCAGAATTAGAAATTTCCGGTTTTTTAATGCAAACGATAGCAAAAGAAATTCAACAAGCTTCTTTAACATAAGGGAAATTTAATTCACACAAAAGCATCCAATTCTATTACTTTCTATAAGATTACACAAACACACGCACACACGGATAAAAGCAACAATAAACTATGTAAGCTCATATACAATAAACTATAAAAGCTGAGTGAAATCTATAAATAACCGTCAGTATCGAACACAAAGACAGAGGTAGAGAATTAAAATAAGCCTCTTTTCAACTGTCCAGTGAACGAAAGTTTAAAAAATTAAACGATCACTTTCCGGATAGCCTAATTTGTCAAGACTTGGCGTACAGGCAAACTTAATCATTGGCGGTGGGCCACACATCAAAATTACCGTGCCAGAATCGCTTCCAGGCCCGGGTAAATGCTTCTGGATCATTTCTGCACTCACAAAACCTATAAATATCGAACAGTGAAGAATTTATGATAAGTGAATTAAATCAAAGTCGTGAGCAGTACATCAATGACATTCCTAAATCCTTTTCAATATTTTGCATAAAGGAAGCAATTCAATTGGACCTGTTGAGTACATCCATCCAGGTTTTGCCTGATCGATCGTGTACCACACACGGAATTTCTTTGAATGCGTCGCAGCTAATCTGTCTAATTCATCCCTAAAAGCCAAATTAATTCTGATTGCATCAAATGTACATATAAGAATATCATTCAAAAAGAATCTTCATCATCCAACAAAGTGTTTATTATACAGAAAACCAGACAGTCTTTGCTAGACTAAAAAAGTAAAATAAGTCAACATTAAATTACAGATAACTACTTACTTTACGTGAGTGGAACAGAAACGATTCAAACAGTTAAACCGATCAAAACCCTGATAGGTTAAGTGCCAAGTAGGACGTACCTCATACATTTTACAGTAGCACACAATTTACATTATTATGTCAACTTCATAGATTCAAAATTTTATAAATATAAGTTATAGCATATTCCATTGTAAAACATACCTAAGCAATATATCGGATTCATCTTTGTTAGCAAAAATCAGGGATACCTTGGTAGAATCTTCCGGATCTTTCATAATTGCTGAGACAATCTGCAAACATAGTTCTCACTATTCGCATTCATTTATTATTAGCCGATTCAAATGACTTTAAGTGTTCAGAAAACAATTGTGCTATCCAATATCTTACTTGCAACATCGGTGTGATACCGCTACCACCCGCAATCATACCAACATTTTTATATAGGCGACGTTTCGGTTCTGCTTTTTTCGTCGTCCTCACGGCAAAACAACCATTCCCTTCATAAACGATTAAACCCGAGGGACCACGAAAATTAATTGTTTCACCTGACATTATGCCAAAAATAGTCATTTAGGATGATTGTCACTTATAGATCTCTTATAGATCTTATAGATCCCTCATAAATCCCATGGCATCAGTAGAAACAGCAGCAAATAACTTCGCAATCAATTTCTTCTCCTTTACCCCCCCCCCCCCCCCCCCCAGTAATGATAAACATCGTGTTTCAACAATCCCTAAATGGAATTTTACTGGACAGAAACAGGATAAAACTGATCACGATTTATGATAAAAGTTCATTTCTCAAAGATAAGAAGACTCGCATTCATTCTCACCCCTTTAATTAAATCCATACCTATCTCCATTTTATCAAGATACTGCGTCATTTGTCCACCAACAGGATATTTAGGATGAACATCCTTAAAATAAATCTTTACCATCAAATCGACATATCCTTTATCATCATCGGATGAAATTGGTGTATATGGACGAACAATAAGCTTTCCATTTACCTAAAATTAACCTATTCTGTAGATAGTTACATACACAAATCATTATGTGGACGCGATTTATCGAGAAGCTGTATGATTTGGAAATTTGAAGTCACAAACGCTCCTTCGTAAGGATATACAGCAATTACATTTACATCACGCATTGAATTTTATGATCAGGTAATCCCGAGCTATCTCAAACTTTTCCATATCTTATACTTCCGATCAAATATTCCTGCAATAATTACCTTCGCTGAAAGATGGATGTGCTGGCCAATGGGTAGACCGAGAATGTGCTCATTGGTGGGTAGCTTGAAACGAAATTTTCGTGTATCGTGGTTAACAATTTCTTTTTTTATTAAAGTCAGAGGATACGTTTCTTCCGGATCCACAAGAGTTATTAATTTCTGAAATAACGAATAGTTTTGGGAAAGTTGAAAATGCAAGTCCACAATTCATACAGCATTCAAACAATATTAAAAAAGTTTCAACTTCTCTAAAATTGAACTATCAAATAAAATTTGTTATGGAAAAGTATTTTAAAACGCATCAATTTTTACCTTTTTAGTAAAACCAGAAAACGGACAGAATGCACAGCGGATACCTCGTCTTCGATATAAAAAGTGATATAATGCTACTGAAGAAAGAATTATGACGGAACCGGTGATCAGTACCATGGTAGTCACAGTGCTTTCGTTGTTCGAAACCATTTTTTCGGTAAAAATTACAGCAACAGGACTCAACGTTATCTGCTTATTTCGAATTTTCAATGTGACAATGACTCAATTCTCAGCACCTTTATAATAATAACATATAACAAATGTCACTCTCGAAACGTTACTTTTGAAATAAGAGGCAAAAGTTACCCATCGTCTGCTTTGATAATCAAAGAAAATAAAGCCACAGGTTGAAGACGAGAAAGATGCACTGAGTAGTAACAAAACATTTCTAAAAGTACATTTTCTCAACAACCACAGAGCACTTGCATAATACGATGTGAATGAAATAACTTCCAACCGCTTCTAGAATTTCATATAGTTCGAAATCATTTCAGGAAGGATGAAGAACTGAAGCGTTTTTTAACAAAAAATGGGATCTTTCTCTACTTCTATTCCTTACCTCCTTCTTTGTCATACAGTTAAAACCGCATTCGTGAAAAGTCGAAGAAAATCCGTAACACAGAAACAGCGGAAAATTACCAGTAACAGCAGAAGAGAAGCCCCTGAAAATGCATCTGGATGTGCCCATAAGGATGCTTATTCAAACCTCTCTCGATTCCTTGACACTATTTCTCCTTTCAATCTCCCTGTTCTAATCTTCCCTTTCTATCATAGATTAAAACTCTTGATTTTTTGTAAGTATATCTGCAAAACATTTGCATTCAACGTTCTTTGCTTCTGTGTGTTTTTCAGGATATCAAACCATAGCAGTACTTTATTAATGCAAGAAAAACTAAAGCCGACAATCAATTTGCCAATTAACAAATGAATTAAGCCAGAAATAAGTAAAGAGTATTTTAAAATCCCGCTAATAGTGATTTAGGAGAAAAGCATCAAATGACTTCAAGGATAACACAAAAAATTTGAAAAATGAAACGGAACGACGGCAGAAAAACATTTTAGCGAAAGAAGCATCAACTCATCTCCCAAGGTAAAATGTAATTCCAATCCGTTATAGCTTCTAAGTTGATCCGCTGCTACAATTATTTTTTCCTTTCATGGTACAAACCTCCCAGAAACTAATTACTTTAAAATTACTTTCTGGAGAAACAATGCAAAAGCATACCCAGAAATTTTCAGGATAAAGAAAGCGATATATGCATTTTGTGAACAAACGTTGTATAATTGCTCCTACTAATGCTACTGTGAAGCAAAGAGAAATGAAATAGAAAATTCGTCAAATTATTCGTCATTGGGAATATGACATATTCTCAGTGTGCATTCATTAATCCTCCCATTCACCGCGACATAACCTGAAAAATCGAGACGTAGAAAAACATACTCAAACAAATGAGAAATCACAAGGTTAAACATCAGGATCAAGGCCAAGCTTTATACTTTTTCCCCAAGCTGTATGTAAAATAGGTCAGCTATGTCACAAACTTTTAATCTTATTAGCACCTACTATACTCTGAAACACACAGCAACAGCAAAATTTTAGCCAAAATAGACTAACACAAAGTAATAAATATTTCATTAAAAACTAATAACTTTAATTTTTTTCTGAATAGGTCAACATCTAATCGCAACAGTCGGATATTCCCAGGATTACGCTAAACAATTCATATTGTTAATCAAAATCTTGCGAATCTGTTAGCCCATCTTATGAATGTATCTGATATAAACTTCAAGAAAAACTCATACCTGCAAATCCATTTTTTTTGGCCAGGCCAAACTGGTAACAAAGCGCACCCACCAAACACAATTGTGCCTGTAACCAATTTCCACAGATGGTACAATTCCATACTTGTAAGCAGAGAATGAGCTGTTGCAGTACTCCCCTGCTTGAGTACCTCTCTTCCGACTGCAGCAACTCAAAATCAAAGTGTTTTAGATAAACAGAGTCGAAAAAAGGATAATAAACAAAAAGATAGCAACTGATACTCTGAATTCGGAGAATCCCGATGGTCATCCTAATCAACAAAGCAGTTCCAAAAAATACCAGAGATCTTACATAAGCCAAACAAGAAGAATGTCAATTTTTGTACAGCAGAGTAACATCTCAAGGTCACAGGACAGAACTCGAAATAAGAAACGGCTAATATTTCTTTTCAGTGAGGATCTTAGAGAAAAATACATACCTTAGCAGACGGAATGACGAATCGGTGGCTGCCGCGATCACAATACAAGTAATTTCAGATTCGGATGAATGAAGAAACTGACAGATTCTTTCAGAGAGATAAAAATAAATGATTTCTACTGCCAAGTACGACAAACAAAAGATGTGGACCGAACACAAAGTAACGATAACCCAATCTTAAAGAGCACGTTACGTTAAGTGAACCTGCTTAATTCAGAGGTTAGGAACAAAAGGCCATAATATTTGTGGCTAATTATCAGTTTATTAATTTGATCGGTTATGTTATGTGTTATGTATTATAACAATTGACCATTTGTATCGACTAAGTGCCATATCTTGGAACTAAATAAAAAATCACTTTTCCGGAAACATCAAAAAACCTACATAAAAAATCCCAGAAATAGAACGAACAATCGCGACTAGCCACCGAACTTAGTCAATAGTCATCAAGATTGATATCTTCGATATCGTCATTGAGATCATTCAGTTGGAAATCTACGCGATAACGCAAAAGACCTGCAAATAAAATAAAATGCAGCACAAACTTTTTAAAACATTTGCATCACCAATCAATATAATATATCCAAATATATAATCAATCCCAAATCGATACCTCCAATACCACCAAAGCCTCGCACAAATTGTGCTCCTTCTTGCGATCGGTCTGTAACAATTTCCAAAGCTGCACCATACGATTTGTAATTGTTCGCTAGCCATTCTAATAATGGCATGGAATCCATAAGTTCTAATTCCACGCCAGTCTAAATATATTAATTTTATCTGCCAGACTGTATTACTCCATGCTTCGTCTTTCCAGATTTGGTTGGTACTTTGTGAAGT